ACGTGAGAGTTGGAAGCTTAGGTCAATGATTGGTTGAATGATCGATTGATAGATAGATAAATGATATTTTGATTGATTTTCAATAGTTTCCTATTTGGGCACCCTTTCTTCATGGACCCCACACAGCCTGGCGAGCAACCGGAACCATCTCTGCCAACAGCACACTGTGCTTTGCAGAACTGGCGAGACACCCCACTTCTCAGGATGGGCCATCACCCCCCAGCCCCTGGTCCACAGTCTGCCCGCTGTGAAGGGGTTCAGTGGATATTTATTGGCGCCCAACTTGATGCTGACCCCCAGAATGCCCGGGGCGGCCCTGGACCCGCCACGGGGGGCACCGAGGGTGTCACACCTGTCCCTCCCCAAGCTGCGCAGCCTTCCAGCCTCTAATGAGAAAACAGTTTAGGGGAATGACCAACCCTTGCACCTGCGCCTCCTTTTCCTCTACAGCTCGGAGCTTAGTTGACATCAAAGGGAAAAACTGCTTAAACCCCGCCCCGCCCCCAAGCCGCTACAGCAGTTTAGGGCCAGTGCGGGCCGTGGGGGTCGGGGTGCGCGTGAGTATGCGTGCCTGTGTGTGAATCCCACCTCTGGGAGCTCTTTAGGAAGCAACTTGTTTTTTTTTTTTTTTAACCTGACTTTCCACTTTCTGCGAATGAAGTAAACAGAGGAGGGCCGGGGAAGAAAAAGAGGACAGGCAGGCAGGCAGGGAGAAAAGGCAAAGGCACAGTAGCCAGTGTCCAGTTCTGGAGGTGACTTATCGATCTCAGATCTACTCCGGGACCTGAGCGAGGCCCGGGAATGGAAAATGGAGCAAGTTCCACCTGCTTTCCACCGCGCGCTCGCATCTCTTGCCAACGCCTGCCCCCTCGTGGACGTTCTTCAAACTGCTGGTATTCCCGAAACCAATTCTATGAAAGGGACCTTGGCTCATGATGACAGAAGGTTCCAAGTTTTCAGAAGTTCCCCGCTGCCTGTAAGGTCAAAACCCCTCACGACGCACGCAGCCTCTGCACCCCCAGCTCGCACGCCAGCTCCGGTAATAACGTGTGTCACAGTCGCCAATCTGGCAGGGGTGAAGATGCCAGCCCAGGACTCCCTCCCGAATGCAGAATCCTGACTTCTCTCCAGCTGTGTGACCTGAGTAAAGGAGCAGAAAGACCAAAACAGCTGCTCTCGGACCCACAGACCGCGGGGAAGCAGTGAGAGCGGCTGTGTGAAGAGGCTGCGATGGGGGTGATTTATCATATGGAAGAGACAAGCTACCCCAGGACGCCCCCATGACGACTGAATCAGCATTGCAGAGGGTTCCAGGAGGCTTGTTTTTAAAAGCTCCCTAGGTAACTTTGATAATTCACGTTGGAGGAAGAAGGGAA